AAATGGATGGATGGATGGATGGATGGTTGGATGGATGGACGGACGGATGGATGGATGGATGGATGGATGGACAGATGGACAGATAAAAGGATGGATGGTTGGATGGATGGACGGATGGACGGATAAATGGATGGATGGATGGTTGGACGGATGGATGGACAGATGGACAAATGGATGGATTAACAAGTCTACAGATGGACGGATGGATGGACAGGTGAACTGAGACAGAGGTCAGTCCCCGCAGCCCCCTTGCGGGCTCATGGGTGTGTCCCCGACTAGTGACGGTGTGAATAAACCCAGGTGGAAGAGGGCCAGGTGTGTGAGGCCAAGGTGGGAGGAGTCCATCTGCGGAAAGGGAGGTTGAGAGGAGGGAGGGGAGGAAGAGCCAGAAACACTGGGGCCTCTGTTCAGCCCCTGTCTGCTTAACCCGGGATGAATCGGCTCTGGCAAGGTCCCTGGCAGCCCCTTGTCTCAGCCTCAGCGGCAGGCCCACCTATGTGAGAGGCTCTCTCTAGCTTTTGTCTGAAAAGGAGACAAAGCAGCCCACCCCCCCCCACCCCCGCCAGGCGCTCTGGAGGGGAGGGGGGCCAGCAGGGAGCACCTTCTGGGGAGAAATGGCTTTCACTGGCCGGCAGAACCTTCGGGTGCCTGTGCTGGCTTCCTGGGCCCGTGTGGCCAAGTCATAGCCCGGGGCTCAAAACGACAGCCATTCCCTCTCGCAGTTTCGGAGCCAGAGGTCCGAAGGCAGGTGTCAGCTGGGCCACACTCCCTCCAAAGGCTCCGGGGGCGGGCCGCTCTCATGCGTCTGTCCTAGCTTTCGGCGGTGGCCGGCTCGTCTCCACGTGGCTGTCCGCCCTATGTGTGCGTCCCGTGGTTTTCCTCGTACGAGGACACCCGTCACCGGATTTAGGGCCCGGCCTTGTCCAGGAGGAGGAGCTCATCTTAACTGGATCGTATTTGCAAAGACCCTATTTTCCAAATAGGTCACATACCAACCTGCCACCCACCCTCCTGCTGGCTCGGGTCTGGCCGGCTGTCCCAGTGCAGGCTGGGCCTTGAGCCCTGCCTCCAGCCTGCTGTTTGTGTTTCCTTAGTCTTGCTGCTTTGGGTATCAGACCCCGGGCCTGTGGGGGTCTGCGCTGGGCCCATGACGCTTCCTGACTCTCCAGGGAGTGCTCTGCTCCGTTTGGGGTCTCCTGGGCTTCCCCAGCCAGGCTCGTCCAGCTCCTCTCTTGTGCCATGTGGCAGAAGGGCATTGAGCCCAAGGAACCCCCTCCTCAACTGTCCTGGGGTTTGCCACGTTGCCCGAGGCCTTTCCTAAGGAGCGTGAGAACCCCTGAATGTCTCCTCCTTGGATCACTGTCCTCATGGGTGAAGGTTCAAGGGCAGCAGATCCCAAATGCACACCGAAGACGATCAGGTTTATTTCGAATAGCAACGAAAGCCATCACGGGCCGTTGAGGTCAGTGACCCAGAGACCGGGCCGTTTTAGCTGTTGCAAATGTTCCGTGTGGCTTTGGTGAGGACACCTCTCCCCCGTGTCACCGGCAGAGGAGGGGGGTATCCCTGGTGGTCCCTCTCTCTCCAGGAGCAGCGGGGGTGGGGGGGTTGGGGGGGGACCTGGACCCCTCCTGCTGTCACACGTGCTCCACTGGTGGGGCTCGTAGCTCCCTGATGGAACCAAAAGCTCGTGGCCGCCGG